TTTATTTTCACAGATTGCAAATATTCACCACTGCTGGGATTGGCTGAATTTAGGGCAGCTTGTGGGAGAAAGGGAGCTCATCTAACCAGGGATGACTCTAGGGGTATAGATTGTGGAACTGCAAAATACCTATAGGCTTTCCCTAAACTGCAATCACCAGTAGTAGTTCTGAATAATTTCTTAAAACCTCAAAGGACAGAAGATTGCTTTAGGCTACCATGTTCAATAGGGTATGATACATACTTTGAAAGGCAAACCCAACGTGGAATCCCTAAATTATGATGGGCAGTGACTGTATTGGAGGAAGTGATTAATCCCCCAAGATGAGTATTTTGGATGTGACAATATTTATTTGGATGATTAAGTTCTGATGTAATTGTCTCAAGATTAAAAATAGGGTTGTGTCTTAGCACATCTCTAACTGCTAAAAAAAATACACAGGTAAGGGGTATAGGTAGAGTCGAATCTGGCGACCCTGGAATAAGTAAAACTTGACTTCGATCTTGGAATAAATGGATAAGTGGAAAGGAAGCATTTTCAGCAGCAGGAAGAATAAAAATAAGAGCTGAGATGCGGAAATCATAGCGGTGGGGGGGCAGTTTGGGTGGAGCAGAGGAAGTTAAGGAAGGAGATAGGACAGGGGGCTCATGGAGGAGCTGGGAGGTGACTTGGAGAAATCCTTGTGAGTGCCACCATGCAGCTGCGCAAAGGGAAAGGCTGACTCTCTTACTTGGGGCTCTGAGAAGCCACTCCAGCGACAGGCATTTAAGTTGATGTGATTGAATCCTCAGGAAAAATCTCCCAGAGAGAGAACAGGAAGCAGGACAGGAGGGAGGAAGAACCCTGCTCAGACCCCGGTCAGGTGTCTCTGAGAGATTAACTCCGCCCGAAGCAGCACACCACCCAGTTGTCCCCATCTTAAGGCCAGGGGGGGTGACCTTTTGTGACGTCACTGGCTGTCTGCCATCCCTAGAGGTAGGGTGTGGTTATCCTTCCCATAAAGTGCTTTGGTCAGCCAACGGAAACCTCCTGAGAAGGGGAGCAGCTGTGAGCTGTGAGCCACTGAAGCCCAGCAACCAGGAAAGGGGAGTCTCACTTGGCAAAGGGCATCTGGACGAGGCCCCAGCGTCTCTACTACATTTGTGATGGTAGCTGATGAGTTAGTTGTCTAACTCCCCAACTTCACATGCCTGGATCCTGGATCCTTTAAGAGACTTTCTACAAATGCTTCTCCATGAAGCTGTCCAGGGTTTCCTCCATAAGGGGGTCACTTCTTTCTTCAGACATCCTAAAATGCTTCATCCTTCTCTCCCTTGATGGTTAGATGGTCAGCTTCCCAGAGTCAGGATGTCTCATTTAGCTTTGTATTGTATTGGCCCTGGTGCTGTGGCTGGTATAGTGTTCACAGTAAATGTGCATATGACAAGTGTTGAATGATGCCTCAGCCCCAAGTGCAAAGATTTTCACTGTAAATCCATTTTTTTTTTTCTGAGTTGACTGTTAAATACTCTTGGGTGATCAGACCATAGCTCTGCAAAGTGCTTTATGAACTTTATTCTTTTAGAGCATTAATACAATCTTTTAAACGTCTCATCACCTGTGCTATTAGCACAATTTGCACGGTAGTGAAATCGTAGGAACTCACGATGCTTTCAGAAGACTTGCTTTTGAGCTATCCGGTGTCCAATCTCACGGATCAATGTTGGGCCTATGAATTCAGAACTGAAGTGATGTATTTGACATGCCCATGAATGCGTGCATCTGCCACACTGTGGCCTGCAGCCAGGCTGCAATTCTGAGCCTGCCTTCTGGACTCTTTTTTTGAGAAGTCCCTGTAGGAATGCTTGCCAATTGCTTACCAGCAGTGCAGAGTAGCAAGATGCCATGGAACTTGCCCACGATGCCTTCCTTTGTTCTTCGAAGCGCCCTGGCATTGCCTCTGCACCTTACATACTGAAGGAAGACTCAGAGGAGGTCGGGCAGGACTTCCAGAGGGGGCCTGGTGCCATTGACTGTGGCCTACGAGCCTTGGCCTTTTGGAAGGGTGGAGAGTGGTGGGAATCAGAAAAGGAGTCTGTATTCTGGCAGAAGGACAGCGCTTTCTGTACATGTTCTTCTGGAAGAATATTCAGGATGGCATGTGTTTTGTCACACTGTGCAGCCTGGTATATCCTGGGCAGGCTGTATTTGTGGCTTCCAGTGGACATTTTAATCAAACCCAATTCCCTTAGGAATATTGTTGGCAGAGATCTGTTGCTAATAGTGATAACACTGAACTTTTCATAGTCCACACCATCCAGAGACTGAACATGTCACCCATGCAACTTAAAGGAAATCAAATGATTTTTTAAGAACAACAATGAATTGATTTTCCCCCCATTTGAGGACCTCCATGTGTTCAGGTGTTTTCTTTGAACAAGAGTACCCGCTGGCCAGAGGGAGACAAACAGATATTAACCATACACAACCAGGGTGCCCATTTGGGAGTAGGTGCTGTTTATGTGGATGAGAATAATTAACTTTGGAAATGCTGACGAGGTCATGTTAAGGCCCTTTCTAAATTATTGGTGCCAACTTCTTCCCAGGCCCCTCATTCCATCTCCTGCAGGATGCAATCAACCAATCTTCAGAGTCACTGTTGATAGTACTGTGAAGTGCCGAAAGCAAACAGCCCGGGCATTTGTCTCTCTTTTGCACCCTGGAGGGTGACAGCTTCTTGTTCTTCTCAGGTGCCACCATCCCCCCCTTTTTTTGTCTTTAGTCTGGTGAAACTAAGAAAATGTTTTAAAAGACTCCAATTACTGAGAATTCCAGGGTTGGCGCTCCCCACATTTCTTGATTTATGCTTGTTAATTTTGTCTGACTTGGCTTGCTTAGATTCCCTTGGACATATGATCTTTATGAATAAAACATTCAAGGGCCAAATGTTTTCATGTGACAACTTGATGTGAGTATCAGCGGAGACTGACATAAAGCCTAGATGGGGGCAGGTGCTTCTCTGTGAAGTAAGACCTGGCAGCAGCTGTGGTTGGTGGGAGCAGTCCTCAAACCTGGAGTCCAAAGACGTGATTCATACACTAGTTCTGCCACGAACAAGACCCTCGATCAGGCAAATAGCGTTTCCTTCATTTCTTCATAAAAGAGTATGCTGTGTATACTAGCATCCGTGATTTTGCTGTCTTTCTCTGGGGGAGGATTATGCATCTCTGTCCCGTGGTGCCAGGCATGGTGATATGATTTTTGGCACCACTCCCTCCCATGGAGAGAGACTATGAGTCCCTGCTCTGATGACATCAGATTTGGCTGAGAGATTTGCTTTGGCTGGCAAAATTGAGTATGAGGAAATGTGCCACCATTGTAGAGACACTTTGAAAGCCATTGTGTGGTTCTGCTGTTGGTGCTTAGGGTGCACAAGTCACAGAGAAGGGCTGCAGCAGATCCATCAGGCCTGTGTGACATGAGTGAGAAACAAACCTTTGTTGAGGTCAACGCTGCGATTTTTCAGGCTCTAGATGATTGTAGCGTTGCTCAGCTTAAACTGATTTACTGCAATTGGGAATGCTATGGTCTTTCGGATGGGCTTTCTGTTAGATTTCTTTGAGGGGGTTAATTTAAAAGTGTGTTATGAACCTATAAAGTACCAGGTACTTAGTACCACACCGTTTTACAAAGAAATGAAGGAAAAGCTATTGGCTCCCTATATCTCTAAATTCATGGGCCCAACACTGATCTATGAGATTGGCCACTGGGTAGCTCACAAGCAAGTCTTTGAAAGCATTCAGAGTTCCTATGATTTCACTACTGGGCAAATTGTGCTAATAGCACAAGGGGTTATTAAAAAGATTATATTAATGCTCAAGGAGGAAAAAGACCATAAAGGACTTTGCAGAACTGTGGTCTTGATAACATCCAGTATGATTCCCTTGATAAATGGCTTGACTGAAGTTAGAAAACGGGGCCGCCTCATGAAGCTCAAACTGATCCTCAGGGCGCTTGTTCTAATCAGGAATAGTTCAGTTATCAGAGAGAGAAACCCACTCTTTCCACAGCAGTTCATCCAGGATGGGGAACTGGAAGGATGCAGGGCATCTCGGGATCTGGAAGGTACATGGTCCTTCTCTCATCTCCATTTCTCACCAGGAATGTTCCATGGCCTTCTCTTCAAGCTGAATTTGCTGGCAACTCTGGTGCCTCCAGAGTGGGTCTTATCTGGTTCTGCCATACCACTATGTGGATGTGGTCGTGTTCTATGTGACTGTGATGGTTGCATTTGTGTGTCAACTTGACTAGGCCATGGGGTGCCTGGATTGATGGTCCAACAGTATTCTGGGTGTTTCTGTGAGGATGATTTTCATGAGGTTAACCTCTGACTGCGTAAAGCAGATGACTTTCCCTGCAGTGGGGGAGCCTCATCTAATCAGTGGAAGCTCTGAATACACCAAAGGACCGATTCTCCCTGGGTAAGGAATCCAATCAGCACTGGATGGGGATCTTGAGGACCATTGGATCCCTGAGCCCCTGGACTCAGGGAACACAGCCAGGGCAGGTTCTTGAGGGTTGTGGTGGGCTAGGAACAAGTGGGTAACATTCTCTGTTTTTTCTCTCCAGGTGACACACCTCATGACACCTCTGTCCATTCAGGAAAAGAGTTTTTAGGCTGTTTTGAGACCACCATGGGGTTTATTATCTCCCTGTGTTTCCCAGGAGACTAGCACACAGATCGGCTTTCCTCTTACCTTCACTTGGCTTTTCAATAAGATAAAAGTAGAAACGGCAACAGGTTGAGCTTATTCTTGCAAAGGTTCTTTAGAGATAGGCTATTGCTCACCATAGTCCTCCTGGAGCACTGGGCCAGGAACCACTAAAATGAGGGCTCCTTCGGTGCTCTGCTACCTACCAGATGGGTGACATTGGGTGAGCCCTTCCCTCCGTATAGGGCATTGTTTTCCTCCTCTGCAAAATGGGCCAACATCCACCGTTGGAGACACAACAGGACAGTGTTGGGCAAGCTCCTTGACCGTTTAACTGGATGTAAATAAGATGGTTCAGGGAGGCCAGCATATCATCACTAGAAGGTATGATAGAGAACACTCAGTCCAACCCCTTCATCTTAGAGATCATAGAACTGGGGCTCAGAGAGATGTTATTATCGCTGTGGACATAAATAATGATTCTCGCAGTTCCATCATTTGTTCTAGTCTGACCTTTCCACCCTCCACGGGGCGGTTTGTTTTTTAGCTGGGAGGGTCAGGATCCGCAGGCTGCCTCACCTCCTGCTCCTTTTAAGGCCTTTCTTTGTTTTCCCTGGGGCCACTGGTTGGACCCCCTGATTTTCCTGCCTTTTAAGGAAGCCAGTAGGGCCAGCTGCTCACTGGGAGACACTTGCCCAAGGCAGGCCTTCAAACTTCCTACGGGCAAGGAAATTCAGAAGCTGCAGATCTGAGTGAGGATTAAGTCTCGCAGCAGAAAAAAAAAAAAAAAAACCACACCCCACACCGGCGTGCAGCCCTGTGGCCAGGGTTTTGGGGATGTGCAGTTGGGCAGAGCCGAGCCTGGGGTGCCCAGAGAACAACTTTTGATCTAACGCCATAGAGGTTTTTAAACTTGGACTGCCGTGCCTTTAATCGCCCTTGGCTCCGATGTCCCAGGTTAATTTCCTGACATCTAAGGAGCTTTGTTTAGCGTGTGTAACTTCCTGCCTTTTATGTCAGAGCCTGTGAACTGACGGAATCGTGGAGGGAGCCAAGATAACCCCGGGGTGGGGGCAAGCCTCGGGGACACGCTTCCTACTTTTTATTCTCCTTAGTCACACACTCACCCTTAGTCACTTTCTTTCCTCCGAGTGAGTTGGGAGAGGGGGTAGGATGGGGCCCGGGAGGGAGAGTCTTTGGGAATGAAGTCTGGGAGCTTTGCGACTTTCCAGAGATGTCTAACTAAGGACTTTGGGGAACAGTTCTCTGAACTCTCTTTCCCCCACCTTTCAAAGTCCCCTTGACCCTGCACTCAGCCCCCACCGGTCACCAACTCCTCTATTCCCTTCTCTCGCTCCACCTACTGACAGGATGCCTCTGGGCTCTTCATTTACAATCCCTTTGTTTGTGTGACAGTCCCATTTTATCAGAGTTTGCTCAGCTGTTGGTTTGTCCTTTATGTGGGCAGGCTGCCGGATCTCCTCGGATCTCGAAGCTTCTGGAAAGCTGGGTGCACCTCTTTGATTTCATGCCTATGGTGGCCTGAGCAGACAGGCACCTAAATGGGTGCTTTGGGTTTCAAGTGGCCGATGCTGCAGTGCCTACCTCCCCAGAGGCTGCGTGGAGGCTCAGCAAACATTTCAGACACCCCCAGTGCAAGTGTAGGAACCGATGTGGAGACAAACTGGTGCCTTTTACTGGAAAGGGGCTGAACTCAATAGCTCAGAAGAAGAGGAGCCCTCTTGCCGGTTAGGAATTGTTTAGAGGGTGTTTGATGGGAAGAGATCTTAGAGCACATGTCCTCCGGGCCCACTAATGTCTGAGTCCCTATGGCCCGTTGGCTTTGTGTTTTCATAGCCACCAAATCCCCAGGAATTCCTAGTGCCATGGCCATCCTGGTACACAGTAGGTGCTAAGCCCTGACTGCTGAACGAATGACAGGGACTATTCCCACCAGACGGGTCACAGATGAGCAGCTGAGCTCCAGAGACGTCCAGATGGAATTAGGAAGATAAAACCTGTCCCCGCCTCCCAAGGGAGTGTCCTTTGGACCGGTGACTGCTTCAAAGGCCCCAAGCTGGGTCTGTGAGCCCTGAGGAAACTCCTCAGGCCTGTCCCGCTGGGTGAGAAGGACCGCCTAGGATATCCCTGCAGGACACCTGCTGCCATTTTGTGCAGATTGGGAAGCCTTGCTGGGATTCCAGGAAGACTCTTTCAAACTTGGTTGGATCCCCACAGTCTGAATATGCAGTGATATTTGGCCAGAGACAAATGCTTCCCCAGGCAGTGTTCTGGGCCATACCACCCCCCTCAGAGTTGTCCCCAGGGGTAGTTGATAAGGATGGCATAATGTGTGTGATGGCTTGGGTCAAACCCAGAATTACCCTTCAGGAAGATTTACCTAAAAAATCTCTCCTCTCAGAGAAAACAATGAGGTTCCCAGGAACAAAACAACTCAGGCAACCAGTTCCACTATCCCGTAGGGTTGTAATGCACTAATAAAAAGAAAAGAAAACAAACAAAAACAAAAAGGAAAAGAAAAAAAACAATATAACACAGAAAAAAAATAATTTCTTTGTTCAGGAATTCCCATGACAGCGTCTGTAACGCTTTGCACCTTTCCTTTTTGCCTGTTTCTTTGTTGTCTCTTTGCCTCTCTTGTTTATCTGTTTCTGGTACACACGTGCACACCTATGTGTATATGTGTACATACACTCCAGTTCATTCTTTCTCTCGATTTTCATTTTCAGGAAATTTGTACCTTCTGTTCTGCAGCATAGACAAATCCAAGGAGAACGGGGGAAGATACCAAATATTAAAGCTCAACTAATTTGTATTCCGAATCTGGAATCTCACAAGGGAAGTGTCTAGGAAAGGTAAGAGGCCATTTGAATCTGCAAGAGGAATGTAGTAGGTACAAAGGGACATGGTTTCACTGGTGAGGAGTCTGGGACTGCTCCCCAGAGAAAGCAGACAGGGAACAGATACATGATACAGGCACCTGCTACTCCTGCTCAGGCCCATCTCTTTTCCTGCCCCTGCCCAGTGATGATCTGCCTGGGGTTCTGAAGCCCCACAGGTAAGGGCTGCAGACTCCAACCTTGCCTTAAGTTAGGGTCTAAGGGCTGGAGATATAGCTCAGTTGGTAGAGTCCTTGCCTTGCATGCACAAAGCCCTGGGTTCAATTCCCAGGAACACACACACACACACACACACACACACACCTTGGGGTCTAAGGTCAAAATATCCGGGGAATGAGGAAGAGAGAAGAAAGTATGAGATGTTTCCTCTGCCCATGGAAAATGGGAGTTCAATTCTAGAACTTTCTAAAGTAAGTCACTTTATAGTTCTGAAGTCAGAGTTCCCTTGAGTATTTCTGTATGTGCATATAATCTGTATCTTTTCTGGTTAAAAGAGACTCATTCATGGAGCTAAATAAAACAGGTTTGTTTGGAATAGTAGCAATCTCAAAGGTCGTGAGTTGGGTAGAAAGTTTCTGCTTGGGGAAATATCAGCCAAGGGGAAAACCGTCCCTAGGGTCAGTTTTTTCCCCTGATCTGTGAAGTTGTAGTTTCTACCTTTTTTTTTTTTTTTTGTTACCTTAATGAGTCTCCCCAGTATTCTTGCACACTGGCCTCTCTGCACAGCCTGCAATGTGGTCTCAGGCAGTGGTATACTGATAAATATTTAACAACTGGCTCTTTGGGTGGGGTTGGGGGAGCAGTTCTAATTTGTAGTTTGTGCCAGTTTCCACGTTGCAAAGACTCCTTATCATAGACAGTTTCAAACTATCAACACATGACTGTAGGTGGAGCTGGGGAGGATGCACAGTAGGCCACCATGATGTGGTTTTCCCACCATACAGATAAAATAGACATAAACAACTTCAAGAGCACAGAAAATACTAGAGTATGGTAAAGTCATTAGGAAGTGATGAGTTTTGGGAATTTATTTTATTTTTAAAAATTTTTTACTTGTTCTTTTTAGATAGGTATAACAATAGAGTATATTTTGACATATCCTACAGACATGGAGTACCACTTCCCATTCTTGTGGTTGTACGTGATGTGGAGCTACAGTGGTCGTGTATTCATTCATAAATATAGGAAAGTTATGTCCCAATCATTCTATTGTCTTTCCCATTCCCATCCCCCTCCTTTCCCTTCATTCCCCTTTGGAGAACTTATTATTTTTATTAAAATACAATTTAGTTAATTGTGAGTATTTATGATTTGCTTTTCAGAAATGGCCCAGTTAAGAGCTGGCTTGCATTTTTTTTTAGAAAATGTGGAAGTTGGTTCTCTCCAGCAGGTATAAGCCGGCTTTTTCACACGACTGGTTCAGGTGTTGAATGGGTTTGGCCTTGACTCCTCAAAAGCCTCTGACTCACTTTGCCAAGCAACTATTGGGCATTTCCATCAGGATGTCACATATGTATGGTAAAGTAAATGACCCTGAAAATAAATTCCTCATTTGTCCATCCGCACTCCTTTCTGGTTCTATTCAAATTAAAAGTCTCAGAGTCACCTACATCCCTCTCTCTCTCAGTCCTCTTATTTGCTAGCCAATGATTATCAAGTCTTCCTTAACATCACTTAAAATTGTTTTCAAACTTGGCTGCACACTAGGATCACCTCGGGAGCTTTAAACAAATGCCAGCATCTGGGTTCTGCTCTGGGATATCCTTACTTAATT